TCTTACCTCCTTTTTCGTTTTCTGTTCCCTGTTAAACAATATACTTTATTTTCCATTTAACTCCCAATCGGTTTTTTCAAAGTGTCTCTCTCTCTCTCTCTCTTGGTGGGGGGAAGAGGCGAGTACATAGTTCTGTTCCGTGTGGGTCCTGCCCTGAACCCCTTTTTACACGGAACCAGGACAGGCATTAATGGGGGAGGAATATAACCCATCTTCAAAAGCATAAGCTTGTGTTGTTTCCTTTTTTGAATGAATACTGAAGCACTGCTTGGTTAAGGGGGTTTGGGGTTGAGTTGTATGAGTAAGGATGATGAATGCTACTGATGGCAACTCCTGCTATTTTTTGGGAGCTAGAAATAAGCTATTGATAACATGAAATCAAATTGCTTACAGGGGTTGTCCTGAAACAGCTAAATATTATCTTCACATATTATACACGTGAATTCTCCTCTCTTACTTTGCTGGTATTGCTCTGTGTACAGTTTAATTCTTGGCTATGTGTTAGAAATAAATCTGTTGGAGACAGAAGGTTGTATTTAAAGAAATGGTTGTGATGTACCACTTAAATCCGTGTGCAGTATTGATACTCTGGTGCCTGTGAAATCTGAAAGCCACGAGCTTTCCAGCCCCTGATGATAACATTCAGGTGGCTCAAGGGTTGTGATCTCAGGGAGTTCATGCCAAGAATTGTCCAGTAAGAAACCTGGAAGCTTGGTGGTGGTGGAGGAAGGTAAGAACAAGCTTTCTGTGCAGACAGTAATTTGGATTGTGAAGTTGCCAGAGTGGAGATTTCTGCAGGAGTCAGAGTGCTCACTGTGTCCTGGAGCTCCTGGGGAGTCTTGCCATAGCAGGGGGCTGCAGACCAGTTTCCAGCTGTAGGTTCTCCATCTCCTGTCCCATTGCAGGCTTATATATGTAGGTGCTGGAAGGCCTTGGATCCATGGTCCCAAGAGAGAAAATGGGGCAGAGCTGTCCTGGAGCTTCTAACTTTGGAAATCAGGAATCTTGACCAAAATCTTTTGTTGAATTTCAACTTTCTACTCTGTATTTTGTCTGACAAGTCATGATTAGCTTTAACTTTTGCTACTTGAGCAGTTTTGCTCTTCATCTGCTCACTTAAGTTGCTCAGCCTCATTCTCCCAAAGCCTAGCATGGGGCAGATAGGCAGATGCCACGGTGGCAGATTGAATGCTTCAGGGACACGTGATGACAGCGTGGGCAGAGCTCGGCATTGGCAAGAGAAGTGTGTGTAAGCAGCTTGCTTCCTTCCCTCTGGTGACAAGAAGGTTTAGAGGTGGCTGGAGATTAGCTGATAGATGACTAACTTGCTTCTCAAGTGAGGCAATAACCTTCCTCCAAATTCGGGTAATCAATCTTTCTAGAATTTTTCTCTATTTTCCTAATTTTTGTTTTTGCTCGTATGTTGCATCAGAGGATACATGGAGTTTCATTTTCCTGTAATGAAGGTAACTGAGTCTTTGAAATCTTTTTAAGCTGACTTTAATATTTTGCTTTTAAGGTGTCTTTTGCATTCCATGATATATCTGCCTAAATTATTTTCTTTAAACTTTGGTCTCAATCTGAAATCTAAATGGAAAATAAGCGTGAGTAAGTTTGCAAGATGCAGCAACTGTGAAAAGCATTTAAACCTGTTGTAATTCAATGCAGGAGGGGTGAAGGGGAAGCATGATGAAGAACAGTATTGACGTCTGAATTAAGGCAGGAAAATGCTTTAACCAGATACTCAATGCATGTTCATTATTCCCACAAGCCACTTGAGATCTTAGGGCCTGCAGCTGGATGAAGATGAAGCCAGATCTTGGTCTTGGCCATTTTTTCCTGCTAGAAACAAACCAGAGCTGAGCAGGAGATGGGCTGCCTGGGCCCTGGATGTGCCACACTGCATCAAACCTATCTTCAACATCTCATCAGAATTGCAAAAATATCTTTGTGCACCTGCATGAACAAATGAAGAAACAATTTCTAATACTCTGACCTGCTATATCAGTATTTTTTTTTTTGTGAATATGACATGCTATGTCATTATCCCAGTAAATGACAAGGGGTCAGAAGGAATCTTGTTGAATAGGTTTTGCTTTTCCCTGTGGCAGCTTGTGAAGAGTAGTGGTGAGTTGTCTCCTTAGAACTATGTACTGCAGCAGAGTGGAGAACACAGCTGGTGCTCTCACCATGATTTGGTATGTTATTAACTCAGTTATATTAATTTCCTTTTAGACTCCAAAATGACTACTCAAAAAATCAACTGCTGTTGAAATTTTCAAATGGCCAAGGATATCATCATTCAAATACCACAGAAAGCAGCAGCCTTGCCTATAAATAGTAGGTGCAGCATTCAGGGAGTTACCTGGGAACTCTTCTAACCTTGGGTTATGTGTATTCCATTAATACAGGTGCTTCTGACATGCATCAGAAGTTGCTGAACACAATGTGCTAAAAACTGTCAATATCCTTTGCTCATTTTTTATTTCTTCATTTTGGCCTTACTGCTATTTGTAAGCTTTCTGTAAGTTACTGTGCAGTAAGGAGCCCAACAAAAAACAGAAATGGAATAATGGCTGACTTTTATGCATAGTGTCTTGTTTCTGCTACTTGGTTGTATCCAAGAAAAGTCACTTGTTTCCGGGTTAATTGTGCCTTCTGTTGAGAAGAACATTTCTGTGCTATGGGAATATAATTTTTCTTAGGGAGCTGGTGGAACTTGAAAAAATATTTCTTCATATAAAAGTGGGCAGTGGAACAATAATTATATTTTTTTTTAAACCTGGTAACTTCACATATTTTCCCAGAAGTGCACAACTTTTTCTTCTGCATGAAAACTAAATCTGCAGAAGAGAACAATAAAGTTT